ATGGGGCTGACCTTCAAGCCAACATAGGTTTGTGGGGCTCTGGGGTGTTTTTTACCTAGGGTCCAAGTCCCAAACAAAGTGCATTATGGGTAGAGGGTCTCCAGAGATGATAGGCACAGGCTGGGCATCTAGGGCTGCACAGATGGGGGGCTTGGGATATATTTCTCCCAGGCACTGAGCCCCAAGGTGGATCCTCATATCCATGATGACCATTTTAGATGAAGGCCTGCAGTAATAGTAGCCACAGGCCAGATAGTAGCAATAAAGGGGGTGGAGATTACTGTAATTATTCACATACCACACTGCCCTTTCCCCCTCAAAATCAGCAATCAAAAATCAGGGGGCATGACTTCAAGAAACTGATTCTGAACCATGTGGCTAAAAGAAAGAATCTCTTTTTCCCTTCATTCTGCCTTCACAAGGCAAATACTGTAATTACAAGAAAGCAGGTAGAAAAAAAGGATCTTTCCACTGTTGTGGCATAATGCTGGCTTTTTCATGAAAAGGTAGTAGTGCCAAATGGCTAGCAGCTTCTTTCTGAGAGAGAAAGCAGGAAGGGGTGGAGTTTAGTCTCAGACCTCTCACAGCCACTCTCAAATGTCTGACAGTTTTCAGCTCCCTGGCCCAAAACTAATGCCAGTTTGAGGGCAGCTGTGAAAGGCTTAACGCTAGACTTTGCCCCACCATACTTGCTGCCTGAGAGAGAAGCAGGTGGCCATCTTGCAGCACAGCATTGCCATGCTTCTATTCCTGCATGCTTCTGTTCCAGCAAAGAAAAATTAGCTTCCCCCACATAAGACATGTCCCAGTTTTGAAGGGCCATTTTTTTGGGGAAAGGTGCAGGTATCTTGTGAGTAAATATGGTATCTCACTAGGGATGCTTCTGAGCATGCTCTGGGTGCCCAGAGGTGTAGGTCATAGCCATGTTGGTCTAAGGACAAGGTTCTTTGGGTAAATCTGATATCTTTTATTTAGACCAACTCAAATTTGAGTTGCTTTAATAAAAGATATCTAATAAAAGATATCGGATTTACCAAAAGAACCTTTTATGCCTGGTTGCCCAGATAATCTTTTCAGACCAGCCTATAATGAGGTTTTTGTAGCTGCTGGTGTGGGGCAATGTTGAGAGGAGAAGGCTGAGAGTGGATCTAGTGGCCATCTATAAACTTACTGGGGGGACCAGAGGGGAATGGGTGAGACCCTGTTCCCCTGACCACCTCCCGGAGTAACAAGGAATAACAGTCACAAGTTGATTGAGAGTAGGCTCAGGCTAGACATCAGGAGGCACTACTTCACAGTTAGGATGGCTAGGATCTGGAACCAACTTCTAAGGGAAGTGGTGCTGGCTCCTACTCTGGGGGTCTTTAAAAGGAGGCTTGATAATTACCTAGCTGGGGTCATACGAGCTTAAACTTACCAGGGTTCATATCAGCCCAGTATTCATTCCTGCCCAGGGCAGGGGGTCAGACTTGATGATCTGCTCAGGTCCCTTCCGACCCTACATCTATGAACCTATGAACCTAAGTACGTTAAAAGAGTGGCAGGCGTTATTATTTATTGGAAGCCATACAAGCATCTAAAAATAGCATAAAAGAACAAATTATATGTGGCAAAAAGTCACACTGCTTAATGCTCAACTTAAGACAGGGCCTAGGGGCAATGTTGTGGAGGATATTATTACATTTTACCCAGAAAAAATCCTCTCATTCCCTCCCCCATATGTTCCCTATACAATTCTGTTAGTTAAAGATTGGCTTAAAATTGAATGTTTTTTCTAGAACAGGGATTCACAACCAGGGTGCCACAGGGTTTACTCTATGAGCCATGATTCACATGATAAAGTCCATAGATTTCCAATAGGAAACCCATGCCAAAAGCATCCTGAGCTTTTGTGGCCTTTATGAATTATTTGCAGTACAAGAATTGCTCTAGCATTTTTCCTGTAGTCAAGAAATGAGTGAAAGCAAAAAACTGGCATTTTCCAACATGGGCTCAAGTCTAACAAGATTAAGAACCACTGTCCTAGAATATATGCTAGTAGTGTTAGATGCAAAATGCTGTGGGAGATATGTTATGGGAGTGAGATACACAGGTTAAAAAGGTTCTCTCTCAAATATCCATCCATATTGTCCATAGAGCCTAAACTATCATGATTTCTCACATACAGCATGCCTAGAATAAAATGCGGACCTTGGTTTTGAAAGGCAGGACACAAGCAGTAAGTAATTGAATATCAGCAGAATGGCAGAAGGTTCCCTCCAGAGCCAGGGCTGCCTGCGGTGGAGCAGTATCAGCTCCCCCCAGTCCAGCTGGGGAACAGGTATGAGGCCCTGGCAACACTGGAAGAAGGAGGAGGAGAGGAGGAAACCCTTGTAGAGGAGGCCAGAACACCCAGAAGAAGAAGAGATGCCAGGTGCTCGTCATAGGCAACTCCATTCTGAGAGAAACAGAGGGGCCCATCTGTTGCCCTGATCGCATGACAGATGAGGTCTCCTGTCTGCCCGGAGCTCGGATTTGGGACGTGACAGAGATGATCCCGGCCCTTACCTGGCCCACCGATTATTACCCCATGGTCCTAATCCATGTGGGCACTAATGATGCGGCTGGGAACAGTCCAGATCACCTCATTAAGGATTACAAGGCTCTGGAGGCCAAGCTGAAGGAGACAGGGGCACAGGTGGTTTTCTCATCTGTCCTCCCAGTGAATAGACGTGGACAATGCCATGAGGCCTGCATCAGGGAGGTCAACTTGCAGCTTCATCGCTGGTGTTACAAGATGGGCTTCAGCTTTTTGGACACGACCCATACTTCCGAATAATAACCAGGGGGTAGCTAGCAAGGAGGAGTACACTTCCTTGGTCCGCACCTGCAGGCGGTCAGTCAGGAAGGCCAAGGCAACTCAGGCTAGCGGCAGGGATTAAGGACAGTAAAAAGTCCTTCTTTAGGTATGTTGAGGTGTGCAGGGTAGCATAGGACCACTACAGGACGGGCAGGGGGGCTTAGTGACGGATAGCAGGGACAAGGCAGAGCTCTTCAATGAGTTTTTTGCCTCTGTCTTCTTAAATAGGAATCTAGACAAACCCTCAATATGCAGCACGGACACCAACAAGGGGAACATCAGCTGATTAACGGTCAGTGCCGACACAGTAAAAGGACACTTGGAGGGATGTGTTCAAATCACCAGGATCAGAGGGACTCCACCCACAGGTAATGAAGGAATTGGCGAGTGTCATAGCTGAACCACTAGCAAGGATATAAGAGCACTCATGGTGCTCAGGTCAGGGCCTGGAGGATTGGAAGAGGGCCAATGTCATCCAAATCTTTAAGAAGGGGAGGAAGGAGAATCTAAGGAACTATAGACCAGTAAGCCTTACCTCTATCCCAGGGAAAATCCTTGAAAAAATTATCTGTGGGAGCCCGCTGGCTAATGTGATGTGGAGGGGTAACCAACATGGGTTTATAGCAGGCAGGTCCTGCCCGACTAAATTAGTTTCTTTTTATGACAAGGCCACCAAATGTTTAGATGCAGGAGTCGAGGTGGATGTTATCAATCTGGACTTCAAGGAGGCCTTTGACATGGTATCCCATACCATCCTTATAAATAAATTGAGGAGATTTGCCTTGGATGATTATACGGTAGACTGGGTAGCAAACTGGCTCAAAGGTCGCACTCAGAGAGTGGTGGTGGATGGGTCAGTGTCAACCTGGAAAGATGTGTGCAGTGGAGTCCCTCAGGGCTCAGTTCTGGGGCCGGTGCTGTTCAACATCTTCATCAGTGATCTGGATGAAGGGGTGGGAAGCACCCTGTCCAAATTCGCGGATGACACAAAAATATGGGGTGAAGCTAACACCCTGGAGAGGAGGAACCAGATCCAGGCTGACCTCGACAGGTTGGGGAAGTGGGCAGAGAGCAACAGGGTCCAACTCAATAAGGACAAGTGCAAGGTGCTGCATCTAGGGAGAAAGAACTGCCATCATACCTACAGGCTGCGGGGCGACCTTCTCAGCACCACTGAGGCAGAAAGGGATCTTGGAGTCACTGCTGACTCCAGGATGAACATGAGTCGTCAATGTGATGCAGTAGTCGGCAGAGTCAATCGCACCTTGTCATGCATCCATAGGTGCTTCACAAACAGGTCCAGGGAGGTGATTCTCCCTCTCTATGTGGCACTGGTCAGGCCGCACCTGGAGTACTGTGTCCAGTTCTGGATGCCACAGTTCAAGTGTGATGCGGACAACCTGGAGAGGGTCTAAAGAAGAGCCACTCATCTGATTGGAGGCCTGCAGGGAAGGCCCTATGAGGAAAGGCTAGGGGACCTTACTTAACCTGTTCAGCCTCCACAGGAGAAGTTTGAGAGGGGACCTTGTGGGGGTGTACAAATCCATAAGGGGAGTGCAACATGAAGTAGGCGACAATCTGTTTACCAGGGCACTCCCTGGAACAAGAAGGAACAATGGCCATAAGTTACTGGAGAGTAGGTTTAGATTGGACATTAGAAAAAAGTTCTTCATGGTCAGGGTTGCCAGGATCTGGAATGAGCTCCCAAGGGAGGTGGTGCTCGCCCCATCCTTGGGGGTCTTCAAGAGGAGACTGGCCAGGCACCTGGCTAGGATCACATGATCCCAGGTTTGGGAACCTTTTTCTTGCCTGCCAGGGGCAGGGAGTTGGACTAGATGGCCCTCTGAGGTCTCCTCCGATCCTATAATCTATGAATCAGCATCAAGGGAGTCATGCTGCCTTATTGTTCTGCTCCTTGTGGATCACATGTAGGATTTATATTCACTGTTGCCCAGCAATCAGTAAAAACTGCTGTTACCATAATTTCTCACATATAATGAACACTTCAATTTCCAGTAACAGGTTTTTAAAATGTGTTCATTATGTGCAAGAAAATATAGTAGCAAAGATTTTTCTAATGAACTCATGTTTCTAGGAACAAACACCTATAAAGCTGCCCTGCAAACTATGTAACTGGTAATAAAATAACTACACAGCAGGCCTGAGTAAGAAATCAGCTTTTTATATATGTAAACAATAAGAAAAAAAGTGGGAAATTGAGGCGGGGGGTGAGTGGGAGGGAGGGAAGACAGATTGTCAGCCATATCGGGACCATCTGAGAGAAGGCATTGCATGTTATACATCAGGCCAGCTCAGAGGGCCCCCTAAAGGCTGCTGTAAGGGCCAGTTTCACATTTAGGTTGGGCATCCGAACATGGTCATGGCTTCAGAGAACTCCTGGAATTCCTGGCACAGTTTCTGGAAATCTGGCTCCTGGCATTCCTCCTCATTTGGCCACTTCTCAATCCAAGTGTCTTTGCTGATGATATAGGAGAGCCTAGAAGGGAGAGAACAGTGAACAATGCAACACAAACTGGGTGTACTCTTTTTGCCAGGATCTTCACAGCTGGGGAGGAGAAACAGCTGGGTGCCTCCCCTCCCAGATGCTCCAAAACCCAGGTAATGCTATATTTTACATAGGCTTCACTGGAACATTGATCACCTTATATATATATATATATATATATACTGCTCACACAAAGGCTTTGCTAAAGTATTAGTCAGAGTAGGCCTGATTAGTGAACTCGACTGATGTATGAACTGATATAAGCACAACTTGGAATATGGTTAAGGTACGGGCCAGATATGCCAGATGTGCCCTCTTGTCAGGAGATGGAAGGGGGAGACGGCTGTACAAGGTGTAGGATAGTCTAGTACCAGGATGTTGAGGCTGGAATGGGAACACCCAAATCAAGATGTGGAACAAGCCCATGGTACAGGGCAGCTCAAGATAGTCAAGATACATAGTATGTCATTTGTTTGGATCATTGTATAAAAGGAGAATTGGAGAGTGTGGGAACTTTGTATTGGCCTAGGGGAGCCTACACAGTCCTGTGCCATTACCTTGTCCCAGGCATACACGCGTGAGCACCTTGTCTGTCAGATCACAAGTGTGTTAGGGCCCTGTAGACAATAAATCTGACTGAGCCTTTGCCACTGAACCAAGCCTCAGGTCCTTCTTTAAAACATGACTGATACTGGGATCTCCTGGCTGCAACTTTTTGTTGGCACCACAGTCCATGAGACTTCAACACTGAACAACCCATCAATAACACACGATGAGCTCAGCAACAAAGACATCCTACAGTCACCATGAGGACTGAAAGTAGCTTGTTAGATCCTGCTGCACCTCTGAGCTGTGGTTTCACTTGGGAATATTATATATCTCCATACTTAATATTTCCATGCTGTCTAAGACTAGAAAATAATACAGCAGTAGATGGATGCATTCACCATAGCCTAAAAGCTGCTGGAATTGTGATTTGTATTAGTGCCATATGGGAGTAGCCCACAAAAGGGGGAATCTATGGCTTATAGTGACTAGCGTGGGCTTGAGTTAAGTTTATTAGCATGGAAGCCTGATTTTACCTACCAGATCCATTGCAGATGTCCAGAATGATACTGAGCAATATGTTTTAAGCATTCTGTGTTATAGGATCATAGAAAGCAGGGCTGGAAGGGACCTAACCTGGTTGTTGAGTCCAGTCCCTTGCTTCAGGCAGGATCAGCACAGACTAAACTATCCCGACCAAGTGTCTGCCCAACCTTCTCTTGAATGCTGCCAGGGATAGAGACTCCACCACTCCTCTGGGCGGCCTGCTCCAATGCGTGACCACCCTCAGTCAGAACATACTTCCTCATTTCCAACCTCAATTTCCCCTGTTGCAGCTTAAGGCCATTGCTATTAGTCTCGTCTCCTATGGCCACAGAGAAAAGCCCATCTTGGTCCTCTGTCATCACTCTTCTGGGATCTGAAGGCAGTGATCAAATCCTCCCTCAGTCTTTTCCATACAAAATAGCCCTAGTTCTTTCAGTCTTTCCTTACCAGTCCTACTTCTCAGGCCCCTATCATTTTTGGCACTCTCCCTGGACCCTTTCCAATCTGTCCACATCCTTCTTGAAATGTGGAGCCCAAAACTGGGCACAGGACTCCAGGGAGGCCTCATCAGTGCTGAATACAGCAGAAGAACCACTTCTCTTGATCTGCAAGAGGTACTCCTGTTAATACAACGCAGGATGCTGTTGGCTCTTTTTGTGTCAGGTATCCCATCTCTCAAGTGGTAATATAATTTGCTTATGTCACAGGCATAGAAGAATAAAGATAAGGTTTATGAGATAATCATATAGATATTATATATATGCTCTATATCTTTCATATGGTACTATAGAAACTGTAATTAGTTAAGGGACTATTCAAGTAACATTGAGTCAAAGTGCAAGCTCCATCACAACAGAAGGTGCCAAGGTGGTGAGGGCGCTACTTACTCATTTTTCATGGTCCACAGGTCACTGCTCAGGCCCCAGATCAAGTAGTCCTTGTTTTGTTCCAGGTTCAAAGATTCCCTGCATTTTACGTGGCTGATGAACTTACGCCTTTGGCCTACTGGATTCTCATCAGTCCCTGGTAGCAGGGAGGAAAACACACACAATAGCAACGTGTGGGAGAGAAAATAGTCAATGTGAGGTGAGGTGAGGTGAAGATAAAAGGAAAAGAGGCAAAAAGAAAACCTTGGTATTCTCTTGAGAGTTGAGAAACAAACCATTTTGCTCAGATGCAAGCCCTGTTGTGACTGATTGCTGAAATTCCATCCATTGCATACCATATTAACTCACAAAGCACACACACCTTTGCCCCTAAAAATTAGTCTTCCAAAACCATGGTGTGTGACTAAGCAGGGAAGCTGAAGCTGAAGCTCTGTCTAGAACAGCAGCAGTGCATTTCTATTCAGGCAGATCTGAGGGAGTCAATTGGCTCATTAGAATCAGCTTGATTGATCTTGTCTCTTTTTTAATTGTCTTGATGTTTCATTAAACAAGCTAACCTTCATTGGGCAATTTCACTAAAGAATTTTCAAAGTACCTACTTCTGATCCCCCTTCTCCTATTGTACAGACCTGAAGGCTATTTTTAGCTCTTTATAAGATCCTATACCTGCCCATGGAGTCCAGTCTTCAGCAGGGAAGATTAGAGTCCAATCTCTAATTGGACTCTAAGCTGAAACTCTCCAGCAGGGAGAGTTTCAGCTTCTGGCTAAGCTGCCAAAAGCTGCTGAAAATATAGCTGTGAAAGAATTAAAAATAGTTCTTTCCTAGACAGGAAAGGGAAGATGAGTGAGCTGACGATTAGGCTCTGTTTCTTGCTCGATGCAGCCATAACTTTGGAAAAATCTTTTCTTCTTCCCCCAAAACAGGTGCAGGTCTTATTTTGGAGCATGTGGTATGTGAGGACATATGGTATATAGCCATCATGGCTATAGAGCCGTTGTTGTTAAGACACTATTCTAAGAAGCAGAGATTATTTCCTGACTGCCTCCAACTCCCTGTGTGGTTCTGAGCAAGTCACTCAATCTCATTAAATCTGCAAGAGGGGGATAATATATCTTCCTTACTAAGATGGTTACCTCAAGGACTCAGGCATATATGATCTGGAGCTTAGCCTGTGGGCTTGATCTCAAGCGGAGATCATTAAGTGCTAAGTCAATAGATACTTATAACACCTGTTCTTCAGCTCCCAGTTCATATGACTTTGGTTTAATTCGCTTTTATTTCTATTTAGAGAAATCAGCATTCAGGAACATAGAATGATTCTTATCTGTAGCCAACTGGGCCATCAAAGCTCAGGTTTTGCTTCAAAAGAAGGTCAAACACTCCTGTGAGGCAACTGGCCTGTTGTTGCGTCTTTCTTTTGTGCTGCACAAATGGATCGGGCAAACTCTTCCCTTTGCAACAAAAAGATGAGGTTCAAAGGCCTGAGATAGCATGCTTTTGTTGTAGCGCTTCCTCTGAGTGAGTCAATAGAAAGGCAAATGGATTAACCAAATATCATAAAAAAGAAAATGCTGGCTTTGGACCCAGCTTTGCTTCTTTCTAAGCCTCACGCAGAGGCATTTCTTACCTGCCTTAATGATGGTCAGAATTTCCATGATGTAGTTGTCATAGCTGCTTGATTCTTCAGTTTCAACAAGCCTGGTCTTATACACTGAAAGGAAAGATAGATAGGATGTTAGTTAGAGGGCAGTGCTGCACCCAGTCCAGGATATACAGATTCAAGATGATCCACTGATGAAGGTGCTGTATGGGGCTTGACTTCAATTCTCTGGTTCCACTCCCAGAATCACTGGTTGCATCCTGTGCCTCAGTTTCCCCATCTGTCCAGTGAGGAAAATAGCACTGCTGTACTTCACAAAGGAGGGGGAAGGGAGCTACATATGCAAGATTGTGGGGTGTTCTGTTATGGGCTGACTGGTGTCATATGAATATCTAAAATAGATACAAATTTGATCTTGTGAATTTCCTGGGGGTAGGGTCCCGAAATATCTAGCCCAGGAGATCTGAGCCTTTTCCCACATTCAGCTTTAGTCAGAAACTTTCCCATCTAGACCTCATTGCAAATCCTGCCTTGGCTTTCTCTTCATTAAAAAAAGACCTGGTGGATCGAAATCCAAATATCCTAAGATTATAGGAAAGTTGGTCTGGAAGGGACCTCATGAAGCCACATATATTCCAGTCCTATGCTCTAGGCAGGATCATGCCCGACTAAACCATCCCAGCCCATCTCCAACCTGCTCTTGGACATTGTCAGGGATAGAGACTCCATTACATCTCAAGGCAGCCTGTTCCAATTCTTGACCACTCTCCAAGTCAGAACATTCCTTCTCATCTCCAACCTCAGGTCCCCTGCTGCAGCTTGAGGCCATTGTTCCTAGTCCTGTTTCATACAGCCACAGAAAAATCTGTCTCCCTCCTCTTTGAAGACTGTGATCAAATCCCACACTCAGTCTTCTCTTCACCAAACTATATAGCCCTAGTTCTATTAGCCTCTCCTCATCAGTCATTCACCATAATCCACTCCAGGTTCACAGGCATCTTCAATCCGTTTGTCCAGGGTGACTGGGCTGTCCATCTTGTGCTGCATGAAGCAGTTTTCTGTGGAGAAGGAAGGCAATGCCCATGTCAGCATGTGAGAGACATTCACTGCTGTTATTACCCACCCAAAAGGGGCTCCACCTTCCTAAATGCTTGGAATTGTGAGCCGATCCCACCCAGAACTCAACATCCCAAGGCAAGCAGGGTGGGAGTTTGGAGCAAGATGTCACCTCAGTTAGGGATTATTAAGAAAGGAATTGTAAACAAAATGGAAAGCATCATGATGCCCCTTTATAATCCACGGTGTGTCCACACCTTGAATCCTGTGCCCAGTTCTGGTCCCCACACCTTAATGAGGATAGAGAAGAACTAGAGAAGGGCCAAAGAAGGGCAGCAAAGATGAACAGTGGTGTGAAGAGGCTTCTATCCGAAGACACAAATCCTGTTCAGTTTAGGAAAGAGATGCTTGAGGGGAAACATGATAAGGATTTATAAAAATTTAAGGATTTATAAATTACTAAAAAATTATGGCAAAAATACTAAAAAATTATGGCAAAAAATTCCATAGGGATTTATTATTGACTAGATCTCACCAGACAAGAACTAGGGGTCACAACATGATACAAGTAGGTAGTCAGGTTAAAACTAACACAAGGCAGTTCTTTTTCACTCATTGTTGAATTATAGGTTGGAACTCATTGGCACCGGATGTGTTGGAAGCTGAGAGTTTAGCCAGATTCACAAAGGGATTAGACACACGTTTGGAAGAAAGGGGCATCAGTAGTTATTGAACATGAAAGTGAGGGCCATGGCCTCTAAATCAGAACTTCCCAGACCTTAAATGCTGGAGGCTAGAAGTGGGAGAGGAGCAGTGGCAAAAACCCTGGCCAGACCCAGTTCACTCTCCCTTTCAGCAGCCGCTCTTTGCCACCATGTGACACAGGAGACTGAGTAAAATGGCTCTAGGGTCTGACCCAGGAAATGGCAATTCTTATGTTCAGTGCAGGTATGAGACAAGGCCTTCCTTACCTTCTGCACAGCGGCAAACATCCCCATGACAGATCTTACTGAGCAGGCCGCTCTGCTTGGATGGGTGGTAGAATTTGGTGCATCGGTCATCTATAGAGAGAAGAGAGAGATGGGTCAGCCCTACTCCATGCAAGATCATACCTGCAGCCCAGAGCATTGTGGCCTTTACTGTAGCAACACTCTCATGGGATGATGCCAAGGGCGAGAGAACAGTGTTCTGCATATTCCAATCATAGGAAAACACGCAACTGAAACAACTGATTTGAACTGCTTTAACACGTTCTTCTGATCACTTGGTTGTCATCTTTGAATCTGAGGTGGGGCAAGAAGCAAAGGAGGGAAATTCTTGCCTAGTTTGGGGATTCTCACAGGTTGTCCTCATCAGGGTATCTGCCTTTCTATGGTATATTAAAGAGCTGATATATCCATATGCCATAATTTTTCATATATAATACACGCTTTTACACTCTAATTTCCAGCAGCAGTTTTTTGGGGTGTGTTATAATTGAGAAATATGGTAAGGGCAGGTTCTGCTGCTTAAAGGCTGAAACCAAAACTAAAATCCTTCAGGAATTCACAGGAGATAGAACAAGGAGCAGGACCAGCTCCCTTGCTGCTGCCACTCAACTTTGCACGTATGGCTGGTCTAAATTTATTGAACGATTCACCAATTAATTGCATAATATATGTAACATAGCAGAGGCCTTAGTTACTTACTACTAGGGAAGATTTTTTTTCCCCTTCTGCCTTCCAAAAGCAAGGTGCATATTATATTCTGGGGCACGCTGTATACCAGAAAATATGCTAAATCCAGAGTGTGGTAGCATTTGAGTGGAAGAATTGGAAGGCAAGATCCCTTGGTTCTAATCCCAGCAGGGGGAAAGGATGCTGGCTATTGAAGAAAAGAAGATTGGGATCCAAGACTCCTGGCTTTTGTTTCCAGCTACTTAAGGGTATTTTAAGGCAGCAGCATCAAATATATGGCCCTTGCATGCTGCCTGGGGACGGGATGGGCAGCCCCTCAATCAGCGCCTGCCCCAGCTAGCCTGTGGATGTTCATGGGAGGGAGGCTGATCCAGCCCATGGACCAGCCCCACACCACTCTTCCAGTTCATGGGGCTAGATGAGTTCGACACCCTGTCTTAAGGCACAACTCAGTGCTACACTGAATCCTCAGTGTTACATTGGGAGAATAATAAAAGACCCTCAGGAAAGTCTGCAAGGACAGTGCCAATGGATGTAAAATTAGGGTTGGGTCCATAGTGCCTTTCAACAAAGTGAGCTGTGGTCTGCATTACCTATAGTGTAGTAGTCATAGACAGTCACAGATGCTGGCTGTATGAGCCCAACTTCAAAGAACTGGTGAGCTTTGAATGACAGGCATTCCTCCTCTGTGTGAGAGACCTGGGTGGGGGAACAGAGAGATTGTTCAGAGCAGCAGAGAGATTGAACAGCAGCGCAGCCAATGAAGCGGAGGGCACAGGGCTAGGAGTAGAAAGCAGAGTAACAGATTGGGCAGGAGGCATAAAGCAGAGCAGCAGATTAGGCAAGGAGCACAGGGCAGAGAGCAGAAGGCAGAGCAAACAGATGGGATAGAGAGCACAGGACAAAGAGAAGTAAGAGAGCAGTAGAAGCAGGCAGGGAGCAGAAAGCAAAGCAACAGATCAGTCAGGGGAAGGACATCAGAAATGCATTCACAGAGAGTGTAGGCTTTAATTTCTTGCCCACCTGTCAAAAAAGACTGGCTCCCACTGGCATGGGTGGAAGGAAGGGACGAAGGGGTGTGGAAATAAATGTGGCAGAAGAAAAAAGCATGAAAGCGAAACGGGTGGAGAAAAAAAGAACCATGAGATCAAAGAAACTCTGTTGACATGAGTGGGTTCATTAAGGATAGGAATATAATGCACAAGAATAATGCTGGATATGCATCTAGCTGGGGTCATCTAGACCCAGCACTCTTT